AAAAGCTTAAATGGTTGAAAAAGGACATTAGGCAACGGAATGGCCATGGGAGAAGAGATATGGCAGCTTCAATAGACTCACTTGAGAAGGAGATATCATTGTTGGAAAAGGAAAATAAAGCCAGATCATCAGACAACAACATCAGTTCTGTTATAGTAACAAAAAAAGAAATACTCTGGAGTATGCAAAGAAAGGAAGAACAAACATTGAGGCAAAAGGCAAGGGTAAAGTGGATACAATGGGGGGATAAGATAGAGAAATACTTTTATTGTATCTCAACAGCAGATAGAGAAATAATTTCCTGAGTCATATATCCCATAAAGGTAAAAGACTAAACAACCTGAAGGAGATTAGAGTAGCAGCAGAAAATTATTTCCAAAATATGTTCAGAAAGTCTTCAAAACAGATGCTCATCTTTGAGGAATTGGAACCAAAAAAAGCTAAGTGTTACGGAATCCCAGCAGCTTGAGGTACCATTCACGGAAGAGGAAGTGTGGAATGTAGTTGAAGGGTGTGATGGAAATAAGGCCTCGCTGGACCGGTGGTTTCAACTTCAATTTCATAAAAGGAAAATGAAGCTTACTAAAGTCTGATATTCTGAAATTTTTGGAAGAATTTCAAAAAATAGAAAAAAATGCCAAAAGGTATCAATTGTTCCTTTATTGTGTTAGCAGTTAAGAAGTAGTGTTACGAGTTTTTAAAGATTTTCGTCCTACATCCCTAATTGGAAGCTTATACAAGATGATAGCGAAAGTATTGGCAAACAGACTGAAACAAGTCATTAACGCTCTGATTCATTCAACATAATCAGCTTTCATCAAGGGAAGACACATTATAGGTAGTATTCTTATTGTCAATGAATTGATTGACAAGCATGTGAAAAACATCAGAGGGGGTGTGATTTTCAAGCTTGACTTTGAGAAAGCTTTTTTCAATGATGACTGGGACTTTTTGATTGCAATGCTGGTGCCAATGGGTTTTGACAGAAAATGGATTTCATGGCTATGGGGGGTACATCTCAACAGCATCAGTATCTGTTCTTATCAATGGCTAGCCCAATAGTCCGATCATGATGTAAAAGGGACTTAGACAAGGTGATTCGCTCTCTCCACTGTTATTTCATAGTAGCTGAAGAATTAAGTTTGATGCTAAGAAGGGTGGTTGATATGAATTTGTTTAATGTTATCAAGATTGGGTAAGGAAACCTTTATATCCCGCACCTACAGTTCATGGATGATATGATCATTTTCTGTAAAAGTGATGTGGATCATCTGAGCTAAATAAAAAAAAAATATTAAAATGATTCCAGCTAACCTTTGGTTTGAAAGTGAACTTCTTAAAGAGTGCACCATTTGGGATTAAGGTGGAGCAGCATTTGATGGTGGAGTGAGCACCGAGTCTTAGATGCAAAGCAGACACTCTTCCAGCCAAATACTTGGGTCTTCCTTTGGGAGTGAACCCAAGACTGGTATCAACATGGAGGCCAGTGATTGAATCCTTCAAGAACAGACTGAGTAAATGGAAGGGAAAACTACTATTAATGGGAGGGAGAATTGCTTTGATAAAATCAGTTTTCGCAAATCTGCCATATACTACATGTTCCTGTTCAAAATGCCTACTGGTGTTAGATAAGAGTTGGAAAAAATTCAAAGACAGTTTTTATGGGGCAACACTGACGAAAAAAGAAAAATGAGATTGGTTGATTGGGATAAAATTTGTAGAAGCAAGAAATTCAGTGGTCTAGGCTTCATAAGCCTAGAATCGTGCAACTAGACCCTACTACTGAAATGGACATGGAGATTCGATAATGAAAATCAAGCACTATGGAGAACGGTGATATGTGAAAAATACAACATGCCCCATGTGGCTGTTTGCCTTGTTCCCTATCCTATTCATTCCCTCTTTAGAGTATGAAGTGACATTTAGAACAGTTGGAATTCGGGAGAGCTATCTAACCTTATAAAATCTAGTTTTTTCCTTGTGCTGGTAATGGAGCCAGAATCCTAGTTTGGACTGACAAATGGCTTAATGGTCTTGTCCTGAAAGATGCATATGCAAGAATTTATGCACTATCAGTTAATAAATATGGTCAGATCAATGAATTCAGAGAATGGAAAGGAACCATCTGGAGTTGGCACATACTCTTAAGGCGTGAAGTATTCGACTGGGAGAAAGACTCGCTAAGACAGCTTATGAATCTTCTCAGTAATGTCACACTCTTGAGAGAAGGCCAGGATAAATTGATATGGTTGCATGCGACAAATGGTGAATACAGAACCAAAACATTCAGAACAATGTTGATGGAGCTTGCCAATGAAGAGATACCAACAAAGAGCCAAATTTGGAAAGGGATCGCGCCAGCAAAAGTGAAGTTTTTTGCTGGAATACGATGACAGGAAGCATTGCCATGATAGAGGGAATTCAAGCAAGGGGTTATTCGAGAGGCATTGAAAATAAATGTGCTTTTTGTAATGAGGTTGAATCCATAGACCATCTATTCCTATTCTGCCAGATGCGGTGGAAAATATGGTGCAAGTTTTGCCAGTGATGGAACATCAGTTGGACAATACCAGATTCGTTAAAAACATTATATCAAACATGGAAATGTCTAATGTTCAAGAAAGACCAGATACTGATATGGGAAACCCTTTTTATGCAGTTGTATGGTCGATATGGTTGGCATGAAACGAAAAGATCTTCAACAAGAAAGAGCTAATGGTTGATGAATTGATGAACTTAATCTGTATTAGGCTTTGATGGTGGATGAAGGCTAAATTCCTTAACCTTCAACTTAGTGTGCTGAATTTTATGGAAAATCCTGAATACCTTACGACCCCATTATAGAAGAAAACAGCGAGACAGGTAGCAGTATGGTCCCCTCCACCTGCAGATACATGGAAGATAAATGTCAATGGATCAGTCATTGGGAAGCCTGGACCTAGAGGTATTGGCGGAGTAATTAGAGACTGTAATGGAAATGTCAGGCTCATTTTCTACAAAAGAATAGGCGTGGTCGACTCCAACTTAGCAGAACTAACAATTCAAGAAGCATTATCAATCGTGGAGTAAGCTAATATCAGTTCAAGAACAGAGATTTTTATAGAAAATGATTCGAAAGTAGTCATAGCATGGATAAACAAAACGAAGCAAAGGCCCTGGAAATACAAAGACATTTTCAACAAGATTTCCAACCTGGTAGCCTCAATCAAGAAAATCTCATTTCTCCATGTTCTTACGAAAGCTAACAATTTTGCTGATTCTCTAGTTAAGTCAGGTGTCTTTCGAAACTCTGACTTAGTAGCCTAGTTGTAAGTTTTTGTATGCTATCGCCTTAATAAAATTCTTCAACTTAAAAAAAAAATAGTGATTTACCGATAGAGTAAATTAAATATTACGTTAATAGTCAGCAACTTTCATTTGTTCATTTGTTGGGGATCGATCCATGATTTAAAGGGGATCGATCCTGCATTTAAAGGGCATTGGTCTTCTATTAGATTTCGCAAATTATGCGAGAGGAATTGATCTCTTAGGGAAGAAGATCGATTATGTCATTGGAAATTATTTTCTGTCAGAGTTAGGCTTATTTTTGAAGGAATTTTTTCGTCGGTATAAGTCGATAGTGATAATTAAGAAAAAATTAAATTTTCATCTTGGTAATGAAAAATTCTTCATTAATAGTATTATTTTCGATGGGAGTTTAATGAAATTTTCGTAAAAAAATCATGTCATATCGGATCAGTTTGGCGCCAAACATCAAAGATGACATTTGGTTTTGTCAAAATTTTCCAAAGAAATTCCTGTCAATAATTTCGCGAACCCTGCCTATCATTTATTTCTAAAATCTATCATTAAAGGGAAACTTTTAACGACAAAAATTTTTTATAGCTAAAGGGCTATACTCTTGTAATGAAAATGACTTGGAAGATCAAAATAAAGATGCTTGATATTAGAATTTGAATACTATTAGTTGTAGCTCTCATATTCTTGAAAAAATGACAATTTAAATTTGAAGTAACACTTGTTATTTTTTTTTTTGAAATGGTATTTAAAAAAAAAATTAAAGTGAAAATATTTATGAGTAGAGTTTTAGACTGAGTTTTAAAGTCTAATCTAATCAGATTTAATCTGAATCATTATTTAATGAATAAAAAAATAATTTTATTTAAATTTAATTTTAAAAATATATAAAATATTAAGATAAAATAATTTTTCATATTTTAATATTTTTTAACATTGACCGAACATGTTAGTCGTTGAACGAATCAAGTCAAGCCTTAAGCAAGGGATTTCAAAGTTCAACCGGATCTAGCCCGGCTCGACCCGACTCTTGGTAAGGTCTAGGCATAAGACGCAAAGTTTATTTTGCTTGTGTCATTTCATATGTGTCTTAAAATTTTTTTTCTATTTTGTGACTAGAAGTGCAAGAATGTCATTTCCAACTGAAGGAAATTGAGTTTGATCTTGAGTGAGAAGTTGAATCATGGGTATTTCACTTTAGCCTCTCACAGAAGTTCTATGATAATATCTGGACGGACGTACCAAAGTCTTATTGTCATTGGCTTTGGTGAAAGCATCGTCACACACTCCACAACTCTATGCAGAAACCAAATCATGATTTTATATGCCGCCTTTTAACTCTTTAACAACTGTCGTTTACGTTTTTGAGCTATGCCTAATTCATCCTCATTGAATATATAAAATTAATAAGAAGAAATTAAACAAGGTAAAACCCCATTTAATTGCTCCCTTTTTAACCTACATATATGTATGACATATCTCAAATCCCGAAGATTATGATTTCCTGACGTGTTTTTCAATCTATGATCAGTGTTTTCCATTATTATAAGGGACTCCGCTCAGGAGAGTTGAGCCTCGTTGTTGGAGGGAATTTGCAGTCTAGCCTGCACAACAAGAGAGTTTCCCTCCTTCATAAATGTGCTTCATTTCCTTTTGGCTTATAATCGAGTGAAAAGTGCATCAATTTGTAGTGTGAATTAGGGATGGAAATCAGGCTGTTTGGGTTGCTTGTACTTGTGCTTCTTGTGGTTGTGGCTAGTGTTGTCGTTGAAGGAGGAGACGTAAGTTACGATGGCAGATCATTGATCATTCAAGGACAGCGAAAGCTTCTATTTTCTGGTTCTATACACTATCCTCGAAGCACTCCTGAGGTACATTTATCTTTCTACCCAAGTTCCTCGCACTTTCAAGCATGTCTACATACCTTTTGCATCATGGAAAATCATACACTATGGCTTTGTTTGATAAAAAAAAAAAAACGAAAAAGAGTGAGATAAAAATTATTAATATAATGATTAAGGTATAAAATAAAAAAATAATTATAAATTTTAAGTCTTTTCCATCTCTTTTACCAAGTAAAGCTTTTATGTTCATTCTTTTGTAGTGAATTTGACAAGAAAGTATTTTTATCTCAAAGAGAATTATATTGAAAACCATTTGTGAATAGTTTGATTACTCCTAAAGAAATAAATGATCCTACAAACCATTTGTGAATAACTGGTTTTATTTTATTATATAAATTAACTTTGGTTTTAGCAACTTTAATATTAGTATAGATACTTAGATTTGAATACATCTTTGAACGAAGTCAACAAGATCATGAAAGGGGTCAATATAGTGAATAATACTAATAATTTTAATTTTTTCAATAATAAAATTAAAAAATTATTCTTTTAAACATGAATAGGCTAGAAAAATAAAAAGGTTAGAAAAGTTAAGTTGACCTCTTTTCCGCAGGATTTCTGCTTGAATTTCTTAAGAAGTTTTTGAGATATCAAGAACATGTTAGATTCAAAAGATTTATAAATTTGATGTTAGGATCTTATTAGTATAGGAAAGTGGAAACTATTGCTTTTTTTTTTTTTTTAATGTCAAGTTTATTAAAACAATCAAGAGGTTACAAAGCTAGCAAAAGTTAGTAAATAGAATTTCGATACAATTAATAGAAGCAATACAAAACATCCACTTGAGAACAAAAAAAAACAAAAAATAATTTATCTAATTAAAAGAAAAAGAACGAACTCCGTAACAGTTAAATACTATTAAATATACCAATAAAACAATAGCAAAAAAAAAAAAAAAAAAAAAGATAAATGTCATGGGCACTCATAACTGGAAACTATTACTTGAAAGAAAACTCTGATGTCTGGAGTATTTGCTACGTTTTCCTTTCTGCCTATGACTTCTTAAACTTTTGTCATTGATTATTTCGCCAATCTTGTATTTGTTTAATCATCCAATATGCAATCTTTGGCTGCTTCCATTTCTAAATCCAGGAAACAGCATTCAGAACCGGCAAGTTGCCATATTTTTTAAGGTTTTTTTGGGACAACACATGTCAAATCATGTGCTCCATCTGAAAAAACCTTTTAAGACACATCATAAACATCTAACATAGTTTGTGAACTTTAAAAAGAATTAGAATTAGCCACTCTCACTATGTTAGTGTAGATTATTTTTTGTAAAATTTTTTATTATTTTGAATATATTTATAATTATTTTAATATTAAATAATAAAAGATAAAAATATTATAAAAATATTAAATTTAGAATATATATAGTATTCATATATTATGAATCCATTTTTTTGTTAATTTTTCATACTGTATTATAAGTATTGTAATTTTACTAAATATTTGATCAAATGTATGATTTTTCAACTTGTTGTAAATTATAAGCTTTCTTTGTAAAAATATTTAAAACAAAAAAGAAAAAAAGAAAGAAAAAATAGTAATTTTATTTTTTATTTTTATGTTTTCATATTTATATTTATATTTATCATTATTATTCTATTATTTAATATTTTAAGATTTTATTTTATTCCGTTATAGATATTAAATTATGAAAACTCAAAATTCACAAAAAATACACCTAATTATAAATATATATCAAACAAATACCTACATTCTTTTTCAAATCCAATCTAAGTCCAACTTATTATGTCGCATTCAATTAAAGGCCAACATTCTGATTTATCAAACTTAACAACTTATTTCACTTTTTATTTATGGAAAAAGTTTTTTTTTTTATTTTGATTTTACTAACCTTTGTTTTTACTAATTATTCTATTAAAAAGTAAATTAAAAAGTCTTTTATTAGAATATTTTCAAAAGTTTTTCTAACACTATTGATAAGATTTTAAGATCACGATATGCAATTTCTTTTAATTTAATCATTGGAAAACTTTTCATTTATTTTCAAAATTTTATAAAATTTACATCATACAAATAAATAAATATTAGTATAAAACATTTACAAATTTATTTGTTTAACCTGTATTTTTAATTTTTTTATATTATTAAATGATTAAAACATATTCCTAATCTAAAAATTTAAATAAGTATGTAAATAAAAAGTAAACAAATCAATAAATAACAAAATAAAAATAAATAAAACAAAAATAAAAATTTTAATGTGTATTCATATTTCTTTTGACAGGTAAAAATATCTAAATTTCAAAGCATTATAATTATATAATTCATATTTGCATAGTTGAGAATTCTTGCTATTAACAAGAAGGGATGACCCCGCCAATTCACCAACATTGGCATGATTTTTAATCCTCTCACATTCAGCAAGAGAACTTTTCATCACCTCCTTGGTGAATGAAATCCGACTGCGATAGGTTGCATCCCTTCGAGACCTCACAATTTAGATGATACAAATCATTATGCAAATTCCCTTCCATCAAGATCATATCACCTTGTGTAACTTTTGCCACTCCACCATTGACAAAATATCCATGCCCCTTGGAGTCTAACAGGCTCAATGATATTAGATTTTTAAACGTCCTTGGGACATAGGCCACATCACCCAAAGAGTGCACAACACCATCATACATTTTGATTTTCACAACTCCAAGACCCACGACCTTCACAATAGATTTGTCACCTACAGTCAAATTTTTTGCCACTCCATGAAGCAAATCAGAATAATTCTTTTGGGAGCATATTTGAGTAACACAAGCAGAATCCAAATACCAACCATTACTAGAATTTGCATCCATACCTTTAAAAATCACAAGGACAATATCATTATAATTATCATTAGCAGCTGCGTAAGCATACTCACCGTTGTTTCCATTACCTTCATAGCCTTTTGTAGGACAATCTAATGGAATTTATCCATACCCTTTGCATAAAAAAATTGAATAATGTTGGATCTAGACTCGCCACTTTTAGATCCTTTACCGATTGACTTGCTCTTTCGAACTTGGTCACCAATGTTGGTCAAGTGAATCCTTATCGCTTTTCTTACTTTTCTTTTGAGCATCACCAAGCATCAACGCTGTTGTGCTTGCTCTAATGTTATTTTATCTTTCTCGCAAATTAGAGATCCCACTATTAACTCATAGGAATTCGAAAGCAATGCGAGGAATAACAGTGCCTTTTCCTCTTTCTAAACCTTCACATCAACCTTCTTCAACTGATCAATGATCTTGTCGAATTCATTCATGTGCTTCATAAGGTCTCCACTGTCCTACATCTTTAATCAATACAGTTTTCGCATCAGATGCAACTTGTTGGCCAAATAAATCTTTTCCAACTTTGTCCAAAACTTTAAAGCAGACTCCTTATCGACAATGTGATTAACACATTATCTTCGATGCAAAGTCGAATGATGGTAACACACCTTGCCTTCAACTCTGCCCATTCACCATCCTCCGTGTCATTTGATTACCATTTCTCCTTCCCTACAAAAGGGAGCATTAAGCCCTGCTACACAAAAAGATCTTTCACTATTCTCTACCATTGCGGGAACTAGTCTTTTGTCAAACTTTTCAAATGTGAAAATAATAGAACTAATAATTTTCAACATCTTTTGATAAATCTTGATATAAAGAATCCAAAGCTCTATGTTTAAAAATTTTCCAAGAAACAACAAAAGAAAAATCACAAAGAAATCAAGTAAACAAAACACATAGGAATTTGCATAGCTACTTCCACAAAAAAAAAAAATTCTTCTACTATTAAGAAGATAAAATACAATAAGATCTCTCTTAATTGTTACGAAAATTCTGATACCACTTGTTTAAAAATTTCCCAAGAAACAACAAAAGAAAAATCCATAAAGAAATCAAGTAAACAAAACACGTAGGAATTTGCGTAGCTCGATCACTTGCCTAGTTCCATGGAAAAAATAATTCTTCTACTATTAATAAACTTAAATACAATAAGATCTCTCTCAATGGTAACCAAAACCAACCCAAAAACCTTTGTACACACTCTCTCCACCTAAAATGAAAGACAAAGTTATAAAGTTTTTCTCCTTAATGCTTTCAAAAGCACTATGCAATTTCTAAAGCCTAAAGAACCGCTTTTATAATATAAAAGTCCCAAGTACAATAACATTTTTTTTTCACATATTTGTTATTTAATCTCTTTTTTTGTCATTTCTTCATATTTCAAAAAGAAAAAAATAAAAAAATTCTTAAGTTGCTTCAAACTGGAAATTCTCACTTGAGCATCCAAACCTCCAACAAACATCACCAACCTTAAAAAAAAAAAAAAAAAAAAAAACCTTAATACTCTCATTGCCATAATAGAAATCACAGCCAACAGAAGTCTAAGCAACTTGAGTTTGAGTAAAATGGTAGCTTGAGTGGAAATGAAGAGAAATAAACCAAGAAAAAGGAAAGAAAGGGGAAAGAAAAACCATTATAGACGGCAATGGCTGATCTTGATATTTGGTTTGAGGGGGCCAATTAAGATTGTAGATTTTTTTTATTTGCTATGTTACTCAAACTCAATAGTGAGTGTTAATTATAGATATATGTTTAACATTTTTTTTTTCAAAAAATTTTCAGATATCTATATTGTCCTACTCCATGCCTATGTTTATCGTATATTTGTTGAGCACTTATACTTTAAGAAAAATGAAGAATTTGAATAGTTAATATAGTTTATTTAAAGATTTATCAAACAGAACAAAATTAAAAATGATCACAAAAATATGAAAAAATAAATGCAGTGAGCTAAGAAGAAAAACAATACACCTTTGGTTCTTGGTTGAAGATTTAGAATTTCATTAAGAAAACCAGAAAAAAAATTTTTTTTTTAGCTAAGCCATGGTGTTATTAATACAAGATAGTATGCTTACAGCATAACACCTAAGATTGCTTGTCCTGAAGGCAGTGGGCAAGGAAACATAA